CCTGTTTCTTTGTTGTTGTTGTTTTTGGTCGCTAATTTAGAATACTTCTAGTGCGAAGATCTCTTTGAAACTTTCGGTATTTTGACAAACTACTCTGCAAAGCGTACGGATCGGATTAACGAGTAAATTTCCTCTTTGAAAAGTGATGGCACAGAGTTCCCCACGTCGTATGAATACGATAGTAAAACACGGCGTACGGATAGGGTTAAGTGGGGACACAAAGTTCCCCACGTCGTATGGATACGATAGTAAAACACGACGTACGGATAAGGTTAAGTGGTGACACAGAGTTCCCCACGTCGTATGGATACGATAGTAAAACACGACGTACAGATAGGGCTAAGACCCAACTTTGAGAACGTTGGATTTGTACACCCTCGTAAAGCTCTGTCAGTGACTTCCCTTTCAACATCAACAAACTGCAGGTGACATGTGGGGTCTTGCTTGTGGGGATTCCTTGTATGAACAACGCAAGGAGAACTAGATTATTTATTTGTTGTTGTTGTTGTTTGTTTGTTTTTTAGTTTTGTTTTGTTTTAATGTTTTGAAATGTTCTGTAAAAATACTTAGACGTTGATAGCCATTTTGTCGCTAAAGTACCCTGTGGACTTACGCAGATTGCCAGCGACACCCAGCGGACTGTGGACATTGTCCTTGTGTGTGTTGTTGTTGTTGTTGTTGTTGTTGTTGTTGGTGGTGGTGGTAGTTAATGTTGTTGTTGTTGTTGTTGTTGCTGTTGTTGGTGGTGGTAGTTAATGTTGTTGTTGTTGTTGTTGGTGGTGGTGGTAGTTAATGTTGTTGTTGTTGCTGTTGTTGCTGTTGCCGTTGTTGTTGTTGTTGTTGAGTAGCGGACTGTGGACATTTTCCTTGTGTGTTGTTGTTGTTGCTGTTGTTGATGTTGTTGATGTGCAACTGACTGGGGAGATCTTTCTTGTGTGGTTTGTGGGTGGTTGGCGGGTGCTCTGGTGTGGTATGCTCCTTCTTTCCTATAAAAAAATCTATCGTCCTTATCTCTCCTCCTTTTTTGTGTTTGTTACTCTCTTATCACACATGTAGCATTGTGTTGCAAGTGCCGTAAAACTCTAACGACAACGTGTGTGTGTTTGTCCTGGCCCAGCCTCCCCCACAGTGGTGGCGTGTGTCCAGGGAATGGAGAACTGCTCCAGCGTCTACAACGTCAAAGAGGCCAAAATGACGTCATCCAAGGAGTGCAGGTCTGCTGGGGCTAACTTACTTCCTGTCTGGGGAAATGGTACAGGTTTAACGCCCTTATCAACACTATTAGGTTATCAAAGAGGCCGGACCTCCTAGTTTAAGGTAAATCTCCGAAAGGACTGAGCCAAGTGGGAAGTTCGTGTAAAGTGCCTTTCCCAAGGACACAACGTAGGACCGAGCCAAGTGGGAAGTTCGTGTAAAGTGCCTTTCCCAAGGACACAACGTAGGACTGAGCCAAGTGGGAAGTTCGTGTAAAGTTCCTTTCCCAAGGACACAACGTAGGACCGAGCCAAGTGGGAAGTTCGTGTAAAGTTCCTTTCCCAAGGACACAACGTAGGACCGAGCTGAGGCTCGAACCCCGGAGCCGCAATCTCAGGATTACGAGTCCGGAAGCCTAACCACTAGACCACCGAGGTCAGTTGTGTGTGAAGTTATCGACACTGGAGTCTGTGTCGGCTTGTACTTGGCTGCTTTATGGTGCTCCTCAGTTTTGTAGAATGTGGAGCTTTTGGTATCATTTTAAAACTTGTTCATTTGCCTTGTCTTTTATTGAAATCAATACCCATGTATTTCAAATAGAAGTCGAGATATTTGTGATCGAGGAAGGTTGGGGGATGCCTGGTGTTACAGAGTTAGATTATCGTGCAAATGGCCTCCAAAGTTTGATAACTCCCACAGCTTGAGTGTTCTGGAAAACTGTTCTTTTACAATTTGTATGCCTTTGATGAACGCTTTTAAGTAAAATCCACACACAAATATTATGTTTAATGGACATGAAAGGTTTTGAACGAAAAAAGAACAAACAACAGACACAAAAACAAAACAAATAAACAAACAAATGAAGAAGATAGATTTTTGGACAAAAATTACCAAACTACCCCAAAACAATTTTAGTTTCTTTTAATGACATTATTTTGACGAGGCGCCTGATCTTGCCACAATGGCACATATTCTTTTTTTTTCATCAACTTTGTTTTGTTTTCTTTTCTTTCAGTGACGCGACGGCCTTTGTGGGATGCTTGTACAAACTAACATGTACAGCGGCGTATCGGAATCAGATGAACCAACTCTTCAACATAATCAGAGCCATGATCAAAGCCACAAAAAGCGACTGCAGTAAGCCATTTTGTACTTCCTCGGCCAATCAAAACTTGAGAACCAAACTATGCCTCAGTCAGTTCTGGCTCTTCCGAGAAAAACGTGAAAAAACGGTGGACTTGGGTCTTCGCTTTGGGATACGCTCCAGTTGTCGCTTTTTCCCGCTCACCGTTAATGGCAGAGTGCCGTGTGCACTCTCACCAGAGGCGGGAAAATCTTCTCAATGTATAAATACCAACAACTCAAAATGTAAAAATGTTGCACCAGGCACTGTCTTGTTCTCAGCTCTTCAGTTGTTCAGACGTTCTATGACAGCAAATAATTTTAAATTAAAAAAAAAAAGTGACTGTTTCTTAATTTGGTAGTGTAGTCTAGAGGTTAGGCCATGGACTCGTTATCGTGAGGTTGTGGTGGTCTAGTGGTTAGGCTACAGGACTCGTTATCGTGAGGTTGTGGTGGTCTAGTGGTTAGGCTACAGGACTCGTTATCGTGAGGTTGTGGTGGTCTAGTGGTTAGGCTACTGGACTCGTTATCGTGAGGT